TGTCTTTGGTGTGTCACAAATGCGATATGGTTTCTATGCGACCAAACAATCAAATCAGGTGGAGCGGAGATGAGAAAACGTGTGTTTGCATATATGCGTATCTTAGTTGCTCTCAACGAATTCTTCACTGCGATACATCATATTTTATTCATAATTCTTTCGTGTTTGGTGAGATGGAAAGGAGAGGATATACCAGGACTTATTGTGAGAAAATTGTATACACGACACCAATTTTCTGCACTTACTTATTCTTGAGGTATATTTTTTGAAGAATTCTCCGAAATGCTCATTTTTGAACCGTAAGGGTGAACTGAGCAAATATCTTCACGAAGATTGAATAGAAATTGAGAAAAACAAGTCTTTTTCGCTTCAGTTCTTCTGTCAAAATTGTGAATGGAACGTCAGTTTTTAAGAGGCTTTCAATCTTAGATATTTTCTTCAACTTTTCACCAATGTTCAATGTTCCAAAATACTTTCATTTCAAATAATGATATTATGTCAACTTAAGATTCATATTAAAAAAACACATTGTAGTATGATAATGATACTGAAATGTATCACTCTCTTATGTTTTTCGAAACAAATCACTTTTAATAGATAATTGAACATAAGTCGAAAAAATCGGTCGGATGTCACTTTTAATTTTGACCAATCATTTCTGCAACTTTATAAATTATAACGAAATAATTATTTTTGTTTCTTCGGCATGACCAAGATACATTTTACTCTCCAATGCTGATAAGAGAGAAAAAAAAACAACAATATTTGATATTAAAAAGAAACTTTGAAGTGATGGTGTACAACATTGAACAATACATTTCAATTGAATTCCATTCATTCTGTAGAATTGAAAAGATCGAATAAAATGCCAGAAAGATACTGGCATGAGTGCACAATCACAAATAAATACCTCTTACCACATCAACGACTGTCTACATACAATATCGATGCATTATTGAATCCACGTTGCATTCTATCTTTATTTGGAATGTAGTAGGTAGGAGAGTGTGATAGATAGAGAGATAAATCGAAAAAAGAGAGACACATTCGAGTGTAATGTGCGGAACAGAGTACGAAAAATGAAATTGTTCATCATGTAATCTATCAAAGTGTAACAGTTTTACATTTAATTTCGCACACAAACATTTGTTTTAACGCCTGCCTTTGTCCATACATACACACACACAGGAAAAGAGAAGATAAAACGCATAGCCTCAATACACAGGTAAATGTACACATCAACTAAAAAGAGGCGAGTGGAATATATATATAAAAAAAGGTAAAACAACACACTAAACGTCATATGTGCCGATGAAACTTGATTGTATGTGATAATGGATGGATGTATTTGTGGTCGGTGCTCATAATAGTGTACAGTGACATATACAAAATTGTGACAAGTGCCGACGACAGACTATAAAATATTCTACATTGTAAAATAGCAATTGTGGTGTATGACAATGGCAATATTGTTGTTGTTTTTGTGGCTTTTCCACCACTTAGATCTCATTCCACCTGTGCTAATTGATCGAATGAACGAATGAACGATTGAATCGTAGAAACACACACTCAAATAATACATACACTACCATAATATGAATATAGACTAATTAGCCGATCATGAAAAATTACTAAAAATGTAAACGTGCCACTTCTGTTATTATTCGTATCATGTGAATAAATTCCATTTTTTTAAAAAATATATTTGTTTTATGTTTTTGTACTTCAAAAGATTGATAAATTGTGCGCATTATTTTGAATTATATGCACAATAGATTATTGTTGCTTTTTGACTGAATCGGAAACAACTTTGATGCATGCTTGAAATTGACAAATTTTCTGCTTTATCCAACATAGTGCATCTGTCTATTTTTTTTTTGAATTCCCATATTATTCAATTATCTGATAAGCATTCAAATTGAATAATTAACGAATGAAAAACGAGTCTCCCCACTGGAATACATTTTTCGAATCAAAAGAAAGTAAAATGTAGGTGTGTGATCTAGATATTAAGAAAATGAAGTATTTTGCCTGATTTCATTTGTTCATGCAAACCGAGCGTTTTTTGTCCAAAGATTTCGACGGCTCATTGAACAGACAGTTCAAATGAATGGAACCATTCTTTTCTTTCTTTCTTTCTTTTTTTTTATATTAAATGCGTGTCTCTTTAATTTTCCGGCTGAATTACAGGTAAATAATAATAATATTAAGGTTGAATTGAGGTTTGTGTGTGAGCCAACTTACCAAATGCAAAACCGTGTTAACCACCTCACGATTTGAGACCTGACCAACTTCGATTAGTCCAATTAGAACGGCAAATTTTAGATTATCTGTCATTGACATCCTGACGACCTCTTCGGGTCGTTTGATATCGCTGTACGGTGTTAAGTCCGCCATTTTCACCGATTTTTCTGTTGTGTCCACTTTAGTTTTTGTCAATAAATGTGAGTTTATAAATTTTTAATTGTAAATCATTTGGAATGATTTGTTTTGAATGAATTTTATGTGTTATTTGTTGACCTTCAATGTGGATATCAAATCATTTGGTTTGATAGTCCGCTGTTGAATTGTCGGTTCATTTGTTTAAAACACTTGTTTTTTCTATTAACATTTCTCCACAATTCTTACACTTTTCGACAATTTAATTATTTCATCACCTATAGTTTGCACTAGTTAGTTAGATTCTTATTTGAATAAATCGTTGCGATAAATTGGAATATTGAATGAATGCACCACTTTTTTCTTTGCATTAGACACTGAATGAATAGATTGTACACAACACAAGGAAGGGAATTTATCTATTTGTCTGAATGTAAAATAAAGTCAACGATGGTGACACCAATCAATGAATTTAAGCACACACAAATAAACACCAATTCCTAATTGTCTATCAACGAACAAAAAAATATGAACTAATGAATCAATAGAATTTGTTTGATTTAGTCTCACTTTTGGAATGATACAATAACAACCACTGCGCATTCAGCCATATTGGCGTATCGCCTACAAAATTTCGTTCCTTCTTTCTGCCACTAACACTGCTGTTGGTGCTGTTGTTGTTGGTTTTTATTATTTTTGAGCTGGCAAAAGAAAGCACATCTATCTAATACGAATGATAAACTCTCACACATAAAGTTACTCAATGGGTTTTATTTTTGGTATCTCGGAGTCGTGCGATTACGTACTACACACAAGACCAATCGCTTGAACCTGATGTATCGCTTCGGATGGAATCAGCAACTTGCTGTATTGAAACTGAAAATCCATGATAGCCAACCGAATACGGCAAAAAAAATCGAAAAAACGCACGTTAGATGACTGACGGTAATGTATAGTGTATGTGTATTTGTGTACACCGTACGTGTTCTGATGTAAGTCGAAGCCGTTGCTGTGTACGTGTGTACGGTGGTGTATTGTTGTGCAATTTTTTCAATAAGAAGATACACGCGCGTATGGCATGAAACGTAGTTTTTCCATTGTTGACGCCATCCGGACGTCTGCACATGAGAGCACACACATAAACACAATGACAAACAAAGTTGGTGGTGGTGGTGATGTTGCGTTCGATGCGCTTGTATTAGTGCTGTGCTACAATTGGTAAATAATACAAGCATATACGCTTCTAAACAACACAAAAGATATACCAAAGACAGGTGAAAAGTCGAATATTTGACAGTTCGATATCACAATGAATATGGTTTGTGTCATTGATTTTGACACATAAGCCGAAATAAATTCATACGTAATTGTATGATACATTCTTTTTTTTTCATATTGAAAAATATATGTAAACTGAGAAACTTGACCATTGATTTTGTTGCCAATATTATAAATGCATTTAAAATTAATACGAATTTTCGAAAGTTACATTTAATTGATATTAATGAAGACTTTCGTCAATGTAAACCCAACCGGCTAAGCCTATGAAGAGACAAAATGCGAATTCCCCTCATCTGTGCCATCTTGTATTCCATAGTTGAACTCAATTTAGTTATAATGAATTGAATCGAAAAAGAGAAAAAAAACAACAACAGTAACATGGCTACATAGATCTGTTGACCAGTGAGATACGTATAGCAATGGAATGAAAGAATGAAGAAAGCGTATATGTGTATGTATGCATCAGCACGCATAGATGTACAGCTCTGTGTGGCCGTGCTATTGTTGTTGTTTTTTCACTTTTTCATTTCAATGCTACAGAATTAAATTCAGTTTTTGCATCTAATTCACACTAAAATCAGATGGCGCTCATTAGCGAGATTCGCAAAAAAAAGTCTCCAATCTCATACAAATATACACCGGCTGTGTAAACCATTGTTTCGAATAAAATGCACCAGATGGCTCCACTGAAACTCAAAGTGTCATTAAGGAAGACCCAAAATTTCAAACTTAATTCCATTGTAAAAATTGGATGATGTAAGAATTGATTTTATATAAACAGTTCACTTCAATAGCATAAACATGCAAAATAATTTGATTGTTTTCACTTGCATACCGAATATATCTCTATAGAATTAAAAAGTAATGTTTTTGTTTTCTTTTTTCTTTTCATTCTGAACAATGAGCGTTGAAGAGTGAAAGAGACCACTATACATGTGTGAATGTCTATTTGTCTCATGCTGAAGCAGAGAAGAAAAAAACAAAATGCCAATGGTAGTGTAGAGAAGTTGTTGTTTTTCTGGGTTTCATCATTATCGAAAAAGAAAGAATCGAACAGAGTCTAAGTTATTTGGCTTGAAAAAAAAAACTGCATTGGTTTTCATAATAATAAAGCAATGATTGTGTCAAAAATTGAGTGAATCAAATCAAAGTTTTCTTTCAATCTTTCATGAAATTGCATTTAAGTTGAAGAGAGAAAAAATATCAAGAAAAAAAATTACGCACTGAAAAATAAGATCATTCTATCGCGAATATTTTGCCCATTCACTCAAAGTTTACAGTGCAGACGGCAATTTGTTGTTGTTTTTTTTTTTTTTTTTTTTTTTTTTTGCTAAATGATTCAATAACATAAATTTGGATTTAATTTTTTTTATTGCAAAAATCATTGTATTAAAGTGAATCATTCCTAATATGGTCAATGACAACAACAAATACAAGTGAATATGCAGTGAGAGAATATAGAAGAAAAACAACGTTATGCGCATAACACCAACGTCTGAGCAAGTGACGAGCAGCAAATCAAACAACAATAGGCGAGCGAGCGAGACGAATATACGTTCACCATAACGTACAAGCTAAATGTGAACCGAATAAAACGGATCGAATCAGTTGTTTCGTTGACAGAGTGAGTGACAATACGTGTAGAGTTGAGAGAAGAGGAAATAAACGTACAGCTAGAGGGTTTTTTCTTTGTTAGTTCATTTTTTTTTATTTTCGTATCCAAACATCATCGATCTGCATTCGCTTCATCTGGGTTTTATTTCGAATTTTGATGCTTTTTACCATCAAAAACGATTGTTGCTATTGATTTTCGGATTAAAATTGATGATTTTGGTCCAAATTCGATGAAAATCAGCAACCAAAAAACACGGCCAACTAAAAAGTGAACGATGACGCAGTTATCTTTCTAAATCTTCTATACTTCAAAATTGAGGCGCACGTCAGCGCAGATAAACGCAAACCAACACAACAGAAAATTAACAACAACATTTTTTATTTAATTTTTGGGAATTTTGCAATATTTTGGTGTCCAAAAAAGACCAAAACAACAACAACTGCTGAATTGGATAGAAAAATTTGTTGTGTTGTGTCCAGCAAACGATAAAAAAAAATCCTGAAAAGTATTCTGCATGCGGAATACGGCTCCTTGTCACCGTTGATGGGCAATTCGTCATGAATGGTTTCTTTTCATTCAAAGGTACGTTGCATTTTGTTTTAGTTACAACATTCCAATGATAGCTCAATAAAATTTATTTATTCACTTTATGCGATGATCGGCGATGATTTACTGAAAAAAATAGTAATTAAAAAAATATTCTCAACCAATTTACATAAGCTGTGTACTAATGGCATGATATTATTAGTAATGGGACAGAATATATTTTCATTTCGAATTCTTTTGTTTATTTACTTCAAAGCGAATATATTGATGCTTTTTCAATACAACCGAAAAATTTATATATATACTGTTCAAGCTATTAGCAACATATTAATCCAAAAATAAAGTGACAAAAAAAAGTCGAAATGAAAATATTTTGCTTTGCATTTCATACATACAAGTGAAACATATAAATAAAATGAATAGCAATATTATTCATTTAGAGATAAGTTTGAATGGTGTGCACTTCACACAACAATGGGGAGTATAGACGGAAAAATTCGTGTTTTGAAATGAAAAAAAAAATCGAATGTGCAAATAAACAGTAGCTCATCGCTCCGTTTGTGTTGCAAAAGAGAAAGACATGAAAATAACAACAACAATATTTCAATGCCATTGTGTAGTTGTGTTTGTATGTGATACCAATATTGTATGAATGAGTTCTATACGTTACACTGTATTGAACGATTTTTTGTTCAACGTTTCAACCAATCTCTTGCGACCATTCACCTATAGTTGTCTCTGTCGTGCAACAAGCATATGAACTTTGTTTTTATTTTCGTACAATCTCTTTTTTCCGCGCGAGTCGTAATTTTCGCTGCCTTTGCTGGGTTTTATTGTGTAAGAAGAGTGTATTCAAATGTATTTGTTGTGTTTTGGTGTGTGCGCATTCAAGTCTATCAGCTGTTGAGTGCAACATTTCAAAACGAACACCATATGAAAATGAACATACATACACGCACACACACACACACGCACACACTAGCGCCTGAAACAATTGAAAATCTGACTGTACAACTTTACTGTGTATTCATGTTTTTGTATATGGAACACAGATTAATATTAGAAATCACAAAAATTTGTCCATTTTTGATTCTTTGTCTTGTTTTTTTTTTTCGAATTTGAATTAAAATTATCGATTCTTCTTGCTTATCGTGACTTAAATGTTAAAAAGGCACATATACCCGTTTGGTTCACGTAGCTTTTGTCTGAGGCGAAAACAAAAAAAAATTATATATTTCTTTGTTTGCTTTCAAATCGGTCAGCGTATAAATGAAGGCATTTTCGAGTGTATTTGTACTTTGTAGTTGTGTTTTTATGAACGTGTTTATGTGCATCTCTTGATCATCTGTTTGAAACGACAGCCAAAGTATTTTTTTGTTGTTTAATTTATTACCGTATAAATGATCGTGTATTCATTTAATTCGTTCGTTTTTTTCTGTCTCGTTCTCTTCTTTTTTTTGTTTTCTATTCGTCAAAATTAAAATCATTTTCAACAATTGCAATAAGCACAGACGCATTACTATTTATAGCAACGATATCGCCAAATCAATTAATTTAGTTCAACATTGTGAGCTAATGAATACACAAATAACCTTTGTTTCGTTGCAACCAACAGTCAAGGTTTACTGGCATTGTTTCATTTCATGCAATATTCACATATTGTTTGAAATGCTTTTCACGCATTTCAGTTATAGTTGAATGTTAATATTATTTTTTTTTGTGGCTCGTGCATTTGCGACTTAGGAAATGACTTGTTTTTTTTATTACCAATTATGTAAAAATGAGTGACCAATATTTGTTTTGATTTGTTTTTCTTTCTCTCGTGCGTGCTAGGAATTATTGATTTAAGATGTCGGCCGAATCTCCAAAACGTTCTCCTCGATTACCAACAATTGTACCACCGGAACCAGTAAGCGATCGCTCAATAATCGATAGTGTAACCGGGTTTATCAATGAAGTAACACTGACCAGTGTACCACAAATCGATCAAAAGGAGCAAATACAATGGATACGGTTTGAGACAACAGCTGACGTAAGCAATCCAAGCTTTGGCGAGGACTATGATTTGGAAAGTGGAATACCACCGCCATTGATTTTAATCTTGGGATACAAAACGGGCATTCAAATTTGGTCGATACCAGCAAATGGAGAGGCAACCGAAGTTTTATCATGGCGACATGGCGTTGTTCGTTGTTTGAAAGTGCTACCAACACCAATATCGAGCTATGCTTCTGACAATGCAAACGAACCCATTGACGATCTATACGCGCATAAAAGACCGTTGATGGCCATTTGTGAAAGTTCACAAGTTTCCTCGACTGGACCGCAATTCTGCACAATGAACATCATTTCGTTGCGTGATGGTGACTCAGTAAGTTTTAAATGCAAATAAATAATGTTATCATATAATGTGTTTGTAATGTACATTTCATTTCATGTTTTTATTTCATCCTTTTCAAATAGATTAAAAGCATTAAGTTCAAAACGACAATTCTAGAAATAGCTGCTAATCATCAATCAATTGTGGTAACATTTGCGGAAAGAATAGCCGTTTTTGACGCCCGCACCTTAGAAGATCGACTGACAATCACAACATGTTATCCTAGTCCTGGCTTATCACCAAATCCAATTGCGCTCGGTCCGAGATGGCTTGCGTATGCCGAACGAAAGCTAATTCCATCAAAACGCAGTGCAGGCGGTTGTGATTGTGATGGAGTGTCTAGTTACACGGCAACCGTGTTGCATGCAGCAAAAACACTCGGCAAAGGATTGCGTGAACTGGGCGAACAAGTGGCTGCCGGTTTAACGGGAACTGGTCAAATTGGACCAAATAACGTTAGTTCCACAACTTCAACAGTACCGGGCAATGAACAACAATTGCATCCAGGAATTGTAACCATTCTGGATATTAAGGTAGCTTAAAAACAAACATTATTCTTTGCAAAGTGCGGCGAATTTTTTTCTCATTGAAATATGGTTTACTTTAGGATTCAATGAAAGATACTAGTCCAACGGGCACACCAGTGACGGTATCCGGCAACGATCCGATAATTGCTCACTTTGTTGCTCACACTGATGTTGTGGCGGGCATGACTTTTGATGCGTCTGGTTTATTGCTGTTGACGGCAGATAAACGTGGTCATGATTTTCATGTTTTTCGCATTAATCCACATCCATGTGGATCAGCGTCGGCATCTGTGCATCATTTGTATATACTTCATAGGGGCGACACAACTGCCAAAGTGCAGGATATGATATTTTCATTAGATTCACGTTGGGCTGCTGTTACAACAGCGCGCGGTACAACGCACACATTTCCTGTTACACCGTACGGCGGTCCGGCCACATTTCGTACTCATGGCTCGTCTGAAGTTGTAAATCGTTTGTCACGCTTTCATCGTTCGGCCGGTCTATCGGCTGATGGTCGTTCAAGCAGTCCAGTTTGTCCAGTTTTCCATACCGACGGTGGCACTGTTAGCGCTGATCCATACCATAATTCAAGATTACCACCGTTCCCACGACCATATGTCGTGATGCCATTAAAGCAACTGCGTCAACCATTAACACTATTGCCTGCCACATCAACAACAACACCAACGACAACCAGTACAACGTCACGTCAACGACAATCATCCATATCGGATGATTCGGGCAATGTGTTCCGAGTTTGTGCTACATTTGCTCGACCAAGAGATTGGTTACTCCAGCCATTGACCACGGCACGAGACATGCCTGCGTTGAAAAATCCACGCAATGCAGTTGATTCGTTGTTTGTGATGGCTGGACACGGTTCGATGATTCAATATGATTTGGAACCGAAATACAGTTCAAGTGAGTAGATCTGTTTTTCTGTTTGTTTACATAAAACACTACTAACACACTCATTGTCATATAGGTATACCTGCATCAAAACAAAATGATGATTCGCCAATCGAATTGTATGTCGAAGCGAAGGCTCAATGGAATCTCTTGCGCAAGGACGCATCAATTGAAATTCAGCCACCACTTCCATTGGAAAATTGGCTTCTCAAAAATCGAATGGAAATGAAAGACACCACAAACGATTCGGAGGCGTCAGACAATGATGAGCGTTGGTTATCACAGGTGGAAATTGTGACATCCAGCGGACCACACAGGCGCCTTTGGATGGGCCCACAATTTATATTCAAAACATATAACACTCCCAGCGGGTATGTGTTTTTTCTTTCTTCGTTCAATCTTTTATTCATTTAATTATTTTGATGGTTTTTTCTTTGTTTGTAAAGATCAACATTACAACATATTGACAGTGAAGCAGTGGAAATCGGTGTTAACTGTCCCGCAAATCGGCCCGCGCGATCAAATCCAATGCAAACGCCATCAATTGCGCTTGGACGTGGTGTTGTTCCAGTGCTAATCGAATCGGGATCAGCCAGTATGTATCCCAAATGACTCAAGATTAAATACATATGATTTTAATTTTTTTTTGCGATTTCTGAACATCAATGGTAACAGGTAGCATTGAACAGAGTCCCCGTTTTATGAATCAATACATGAGTACTGAGGATTTGTCAATAAAACCAGCGGAAACGCAACTTCGTGAAGATTTGGCCGATGCCATGCGTGAATCACCACGAGACTCAGGTGAGAATTTCTAAATTTGTTCAAGTGTTTTCTTTTTCGTTTCGTTTTGTTTTGTTTTGTTTTGTTTTGTCTTGCGATTGGTTAGAACTCTTTCGCACTTCAATCAATTTTGGAAATGTAGAATTGTGAAAAATATCGATTGAAATGTGTATAAATATTTGAGATGTATGGATATGGCTGATTAGTACACCAAACACACAAACACTTAACACCCTTTCGTTTTCCATTATTTCTTATCTTTTGTTTATTTTTTTTAATTAATCTGTTATACATACTTATTTTAATGTATTACTTATTAACCAATAACCATTTGAACTGGGGGAACATTATTTTGAGTTCGACGCTTTCGTTACGGAAATTAAACATTTACTGAAATACTGAACGAAAGTACTATCTTTCTCTTCCTATCATTACACTGATGTCCTTTTCGTCCCAAAATACGATATAGTAAAATATCATATTCATAGTATTAAAGTATATACAGTGCATAAATCAAATTAGTCAAGCATAATAATGCGATTGAAAAAAATTAACACCACACAGAAGGAATAAAAAAATCCGAAATTTTTTCCAATTCACCACAAACAAGTTTGATCAAATATTTTGGCAGCGTTTCATATATTTCCTTCTGAGAAAGTTCCATCAATCAATAATAATATGCCATTGCTTTGCATACATTTTTTATGAGTGACTGATGAGTTTAATATACATTTAGCGTGTGTATATATTACTATATTTTTAAGAATATTTTAAGCTTAAACGAACATTTATTTGAACATTTATTTGTTAAACGATATCACACTGATTAATCATCATTTTGAACAAAGTAAGCAAAACAGCAACTAACCAGCTTTGTAAAAACACACACACACACAATTCGCCGAACAAATCGAAATGTGATCTTGTAAAATGTGTACGAACCAATGAGGAGAACATTAAAGCCAAAGGCAGGTGTTTCTTCGTTCGACCATCGAATAACACAAACCACCAATCTACCCACACTCATCAACAATTATTCATATTCCAACGGATAACCGATGAAATCACACGCCATACGGAATGCTTTCACAAACTCTCTAGTTGAACACATCATTCTGTCTTTATATTTTATTTTTTTTCTTCCTCTGCCACCACATTTTCGGTCCTAAACTTTTCCTGTTTTCTTTTCTGTAGTTATTAATTTCTATTTTCATTTTTTCAAATGTCAATAAGAAAGGAACAAAATTAAGTGATTACGACTAATAACAATGTGTTCATAATACTTCTCTACTTTATGTAAAAAAAAAGAAAAAAATCACAAAATAGGTGAGCGGAAACTAAACTGAAAACACTACTTGCATGACATTTTCGCTTCTTCCAAATCAAAGCCTATGAAAAAAAATATGCCAAATATTTAATGAAATGCGAATTAAGATCCAAATTTTCGCACTTAAAATTCGGTTCCTTTATTTGACCAAAAAAAAACGTATTTTTTGAGTGATTTTTTTTTTATTTTTGGTATTTCATTTGTCTTATTAGTATTTTTGGCTTTTATTTAGTTTGCATCACTATTTTTCTTCTTTTTTCGATGCTCATTAAAACAAAATAATGTCCTATATTTAGTCCAGTTTTACATAAAATTACTAGCACGCGAGTGAACAGTTTGAACGATTGAGAGCGTATGATTTTTTTTTTGATAAGACAAAAATCGAAACAAGAGCGATTCCAACCGAATTTAACACTATGCCTTTGGCTTTTCTTTTCTCTTAAAGGCTTACCAACGAACCATGCATCGTCGTCGTCATGTGCAACAACAACTACGCGTAGTTCAGTTTCAATTGCAAAAGTGGTTAATCCTTTAGGTACGGTAACAACAATAACTGAATCATCGCGCGAAAGTATGTTGGCCGATGAATTTGCCGAATTCAAAGAGGAGTATTCGTCGGGCGCATATCTCTTTGAGAATTGTGATGAGTCGATGTTTAGGCCGTATGTCGCTGTGATTAGCGGCTCAATTGATAGTGAAAGTCACACACCGCAAGAGAAGCCCGAGCCCATTGGACAAAAGCTTATTGTGCCCGTTATCGATAGTTCGCAGTTGGAACAACGAAATCGTGAAAAATCACGAATGTTGGAAATGAAACGTCAACAAGAAGAGAATGTTGCAAAATTCGAACAAATGTCGCTTTTGAATCGAAAAGACAAAAATTTTGACGTCAAGGAAGAAAAAACAAAGAAATCAACTGCGAAGAACATCAGTGCAAAGGAGGAGGAAAAAGTGCAAGTAAAAGAATCAAAGGACGAAAAGGCGCCGGAAAAAAATGCGGTTAAAAAAAACGACAACGGCACGAACATTGAGAAGAAAATTGCCAATGACAGCAACATCGCCGAAACGGTGACAGTAAAATTGAAGAAAAAAGGAAATAAGGCACAAATAAAATCCGCTGAACCGAATCCAATTGAATTAGACGAGCCGGTGAAAAGGGCTTCTGAACGCAGTGCAAAATTTGATGCGGAACCATCTATGTCACAATATGAAAAATTTGAGCTCAACAATACTGTTAAAAATGTTGAATGTGAAAAGCTCGAAGAGTTTCCTCCACCAAAACCCATTAAATCAAAGAAAAAATTATTGGCCGAAAGTAGTTCGTCCAAAGAATCGTCAATCGAAAAGGACTTTGTACCGACACCAGCTGCCGAAGGAACCAAATCGAAAAAGAAAAAGAAGAAAAATGATGCGGCAGCAACGTCATCATCCGAAGATTCAAAGGGAAATTTTGCAAATGATCAAGTATCAAAATCATTGGATCTTCTTGACGATTCGGTTGATACGTCATTTTTGGAAAATATTGACAAAATCGATGGTGCACAATGTGCCGAAATTCAAACAAGTTTGCTAAAAAGTTCGATAGCTGCTACGCTGTCGTTGCGTAAAGGTTCTCTCCAAGAAAAAGTCGAAGACACTGAAGCAAACGTATCGAAATCGTCAAAATCAAGCAAAAAGAAAAAATGGTCAAAAGAATCGATTGAAATCGAATTTATCACACCAAATTCACCAGATGAACACGTTGAATTTGTGTATCCTGATGCAAGCGATTCGGTGCTCGATTTGGATAATTTGAGTTTCAAAAGTACAATTGACGATCAAATTAATTTGATTCCATTAGAAAGTCTACAGAATGACATCGAATGGACAAAAGACCGTACCACTGACTATGATAAACTTTCAGACGACGCTGAAACTGGTTCGGGTGCTCAATATTCCGACTGCAAGAGTTTTCAGTTGATCATTGATGAGCCGGAATCGTATATGCCAGCAAGCGATACAAATTCATCCGATGAAACGGATAACTCATCGCAAAGCAAAAGCACCAAGAGCAGCGACAAAACGGTTGACGATGACGATGAAGAATTACAGCCATTGATTTCTTCGACCACATCGGATGTTGCAGTTGATTTGTCAAAAAGCGATGCACTGCCAAACGAAGCCAACCCAAGTGATTCAACAACACAGCCACAATCAAGCGAGCAAAATCAACAGCAACAACAAAAGCAGTCCAACAATAACAACGGAAACAAAGGCAAAAAATTTCGCAAGAAACGCAGATAAGAATTAATGCTGATCGCGCTCACTGTATTTGTTCTATTTATTTATTCATTGCATCATAAAAATTACTATTATTTCTGTTAGAATCGAAATTGATGCAAGCACAAAAGCAACCATTTTTCCAAGATATTTATGCACATACACACATCCTCAGCTACCGTATTCTAACTCAAGAGAACGGTAATAATTTGCTCTCCCTTCTTTTGCTTTCTGCGACCTATCTATGTCGCAAACTTCGAACGTATATACACGTATATACATGAAGAAAATGTCTAATGCAAATTAAAGTCAAGTTGGACACTTCCAACTACAAAAAAAATTAACAAAAAAGAAAAATGAAAAATAATGTTGTAAATCAAAGTAGATCTTTTGAACGAACATCATCATTATGCAGGTGTTATTATTTTAAAATTGTAAAATTCATAAATTATTTATTTTTATATTTGCCCACGACTAAAATTTTTAGTCGAATGAAATATGTTCTTGTATATTTACTTATGTTCAAAATTATCGGTATTCACAATTGAAATGCAGCAGGTTCATTTTAGTATTGTTTTCATTATAAATATAAATTTGCATCCCTTATCAATCTATCTCTTTTATTGCTATGCATTACATGCATTCTATGTAAATGTAGATATCAAAATTGTTAAATTACATTTAGAATGGAGAATCAATTGTACGTAAAACAAAAGAAGCGCTCATATTTTGCGATCTCAACACACAAAATGTATAATGACAAAGAAGTATGTTTTTATTTCTAATTTTGTTACAATTTGAAAATATTACACTTACCTGATCTATTTACACAAATTTAAATGTTTACATACAAATAAGAATTGAATTGAGAGGAGAAGTAAATATGAGAAAGCAAAATGTGTGAGCGGCGAAAAGACAGCATTGAATATTTGGCCTTTAAAATTAAAAAAAAACTTAGGTTATTATTTTATATATACTTTTTTTTTTCGCTGAGAATAACTCGGCTTTTGTTCGAAAATCGTAAAGTATTAAGAGGAAGTCTGCACCAAAAAATTATTTTGCAAAACAAAAGAACAAAATTGTTTAAATTAATAAAGAAAAACTGATGTGTACGATAGACATTGTCTATTCAACAAGTGACATGTCAACCAATTTAAAATCGGAGGAGATTTTATGCCATGATTCACTGAGTTACGTTTTCATTTAGGACAAAAGCTAATTAGATAAAATTAAATTATAATTTTAATATTTACGATTTTTTTTTTCTTTGATAATTTCACAATCGAAGCGTCGTCTGGTTGCTTCCTTCATTCGGAATATTTACTGAAGATTCATTTATCAACTCTTAATATGGTACGCCTTAGCTGATCAAATTACAAATTAACACATTAAATTTTTTCAATGTCATACCAATTCTGCTTGATCAAAATTCAATCATACCATTTTTATTTTGATTGATTAACAAGCTGCAAAAATATGTTGAAAAATTTAAAATGGAAAAAAATATCAATTTGGTGACTATATAACCTTTTGTTATAATCTTTCAAAAACAACCAGACGATGGCACGATGACAAAAAACGATGTCACAAATTTCACTCCAATCGAATAGGAGTAACTTTTGTGCAATTTAAAAAAAAACACACTTTCTGCGATAAGTTATATGTTTTACAAAGAAAAGATAGGAACGGAATAAAAACGTAAGATTAACGCTACGCTGAATCAAATTTGCGATGTAAATAGATAAAACTGATGTGTGTGTGTGCGCCGATTGAACTAATGTTTATGTTTTTAAAGTAAACTATCGAATCGAATGAAACTGAGATCGATGAATGTATTATAAAATCGGAGAATGGATTGCGAAGAATTGTAATGAATTCAAAATAGCGTGTAGAGAACGAATGCATATTATTAGATATTTATTTCAAATAAAAAATACAAAAAAATGATTAAAATTTAAAATATATTTAAAAAAAAAATCACTATATATGTGCACAATGAGAGCATTGGAACTGTTGCAATTGCAATTTTTTTATTCGAAAATAGTATACTCTCACACAAAAAAAATGAAATTTTGAATGTATTGGAAAACTTTCGATTTGTTATTGAGAAAATTAAGAAGAAAAAAACAAAATTTTGAGAAAATTTATTATTACAAAAAAAAAAAAAAAAAACAATTGAAATGCGATAACAATAAAGAGATGGAAGGCAAAGAAAAAGATACAAAACCAAAGAAAAAGTATTTTTTTTTTCGTTTATTGAGCTAAATTCAAAAAATGTTGCCAAAATAATGTTTCTCTAGTGATACACATTTTTATACTAACATAATTTCACTATGGACTCTTGAACTTATTCATTTATTCGATACGTCATCATCATCATCCGTTTCATGTCATGATTATTTGTTATATTTACGTTAAATATTCTGGTTCAACTTCGATGTTAGTGAAAACGAATGTTCTTGCGATTGGTGTTGGCGATTGTGCGTGAAGTAAGTATTCTTCAATGGGTCTGTCGAAAAAGGTGCGGGCAGGAGCGGGTCGATAAATATGTGTTCGCCTTGGCACGTGATATTGTTGACGAGGTGGTGGTGATGGTGGCATTGTTATCTGTGGTTGAATCTGTTGTGGTTGATATTGTAGTTCTACCGGTGGTCTATTAATGATGATGTTGATTGGTTTTGCAGTGATTTGTTCGGTAGGGTATTTTTTTACTGGATACTTCGCAACTGGATTGTACATTACATTTTGAATGTGCGGATGAATCGCGTTGTGTTGATGTGGGCTCCTCATTTGCTGCTGATCAAAATTATACTGCATCGTTTGCATTGACTGCAAAAATTTGATGAAAACAAAAAAATGTTCAAAAAATTAAAAAAAAAATTAAATTGAAAAAAAAATCTTCAAAAAAAATGGTTTTACCATTTTTGGTGCACAAGCCCAGAGCATCAGAACAACGAAAAAGTTCGACATGATGGTTCTTTACTTTGACATTTGCTAATGACTGATTATGAGAGCATGGCTCTATTTATAAGTGAAAGAAATTGCTGTCATTTGCATTAATCAAATAGATTGCATCACCTTTTATGTTGATTTTGTTACTCCGCTTCAATAACGGTTAATGTTTGAAAGAATTCTATTTCGCTGATGTTGTACTCTTATAAAAAGTACAAATCAATGAACACTTCAAGGTTCTTTTTTTTTGTGTGTGTCTAATTTTTTCTATGTTTCATTCAAAACAAAACAAAATCTTATAATTGGCACCAGTTTTCATTTCGTTTTCTTAATTTTACTTTCTTTGTTTATTTTCACATTTTCATATTGATTGATTGTCACACAATGGAGTAGGTGTTCATTCGCAAAACATGGACGGAGAAGATTGCAGTTCAAGCAGTTTTAGTTCGACAAGTCGTGCATCATTAGACCAACCAGATGGTTTCCAACATTCGTCACGTTCACCATCGACCAGCGGCAGCGGTGAGAATTTAATTGTTCTTTGCCACGGTGATTCAAGCAGTAGTAGTGATTCACCATCATCATATCAAAATGCTGAATGAAAATGATTGTTAATTACCATTAATCGTAAACCGAAATGTTTTTTGCATTCAACACTTAAGTAGCTTTTCTATTTAAATAGAAACGGTAGATTATTTTTTTCAGATGTACATGTAGAACAATTTGTACCATTTCCAAGCTAAATCTCATTCCGCAATTTTGTTTATATATTTTTCCAGTATATTTTTTACTCTAAATGAATAGTGTAATCGAATGTCAAAAACATGAATTTTGAGAGATTCATAAAACGAAAACAGAAAGAAGATGAAAAAAACGGCCATATTTTTATCGATATCGAATATCGAAAAATAGCTTTAATAGTTGTATACCTTCGATTGCACTTTTCATGAAAATCGAAATCTAACTGTAACATATACAAATTCTTATTTCTACAATCGAATTTTTGTACGAAACAACAGACGAAAATCAATGGAGATAAAATTCCTTTTATTAGATTATTTTAAATCAGTGATTGAATGAATTATATATTTTTTTTGTGAAACTATTGAAATTATTATGTACTTTTCATTATTTGTATAATCTTTAGCGAAATCATTTTGAACGCAATCTGAGTTTTTTTTGTTCTTTTGAAATAATGTTTCTATTAAATACTTATTAGTTAAAAAAAATAGCAAAAATATGTGCATTTTTATTTTTAATTTCAACAATTGTCTATAAATGCGTACTCACACGTAAATAAAATGTATCTGTTTTTATTTCAGATTCCATTTGATACGTACTTCGTCATCCAAAACTTGAAGTATGAGCGTATCGTAAAAAAATAAAACAAAAACAAAAATGCACCGACTGTATAGAATTTCCAAGATTTTTGAATGATTCATTACCACATTTTTTTCGAATTAAATCATTCTGCTTAACAGAAATTTCTATAGAGATTAAGAAAATGTTAATATTATATGAATCTAATCAAATTAAGAAGATTTTAAAAATCATTAATTGGGTTAAGTTGTGACATACTGATCAAATCAGAGATGATAATAGTTGATAACTTTAGAATCAATTTAGTTGTAAAACACATACACACACAAGCATTCTGTTATTGATTACGACTTCAGATTTATTGAGATAAAAACAAATGGACATTTTTCTTTGTATCGTTACATATCTATTTTAAATTTAAACCAAAACAACTGGACGTACATATTTTCAGTTAGAAATGAAAAACCTCAATTCGAATGTAAAAAATACAAAAAAATATATATATATTTCAGTCTGTGTATTTCAATAAAGTTGTTTTATATCCAAAGCTCTAGCGCAACAAAATTGTTTTAATCACCTTGTTGTTATACAGCAATATAATATTGAACTTATTGACCTGGAGAAAACATGGTATTGGGGGGGAGGTAAGCATAAACTAACTGTAGGGAATAAAACTCATATTTTATGACTTTTCACTCAGATTTCACAATGTGTACATGCAACGTAATGCATGTCGGATTTTTATGTTCTGGCATAATATGGAAGAAAAGTAGAAAAAAGCAGGATAGTTTTATGAGTTCTGTCGCGGGTGAGCATTGGCGCCAACATTCTTTGCTAGTCACATCTTATAATCAATATCAAGCACCCTACGACGACTCATCGATGGCACAATATCCAGACTATTGAATGTTATGAAGTCAACATACCCCCCGATGTAAATTAACGCTGTGGAAAATTTTCTGGCTTTGTGTTCCATTCGAGAGAAAAGAGTAATTTGTGCGTGTTTTTTCAATGGGTCTGGAATGTCAAATTCGGAATGTCAAAGGTAAGAACCATGACTAAGCAAATTCCATCGCACCGTTATAATTGCCAATCTAACACAATTCCGGATGCCAATCATTATGGCTTCATGTAAAAAAAAAATCGCTCCATTTCGAAATATCAAAGGAAATTTTCGTTGAAAATGAGCTCATCGTCAAATATCATGATTATTTATTACATCGGGTGAATTGGAGTGAAAGAATTCCACATTATAATGACCAATAAAACCGATTCCATGCTGCATTTAATGAATTCTCATAAGTTAGAATCAACCCGCACTTTTATTCCCCCTTTTCAGTGTGCGGTTTTAGAATAAAAAAAAAAGGTTATAAGCAAATGAAAATGACATCATGCAATATTACATATCTGATAAGACGAAAACGAGAACGATTATTCAAAGAATGCGCTATGAAAATGCGGTTCATTTCAATCACAATTAATAAATGTTAAACGTAAGCGTTAGAATTTCAAATAGAAAAATACTTTTGACTGAAATATGTGCATGCATATTCTACCAGCCACATTTTTTTTGTACTATAACGTGTATGTATACATGTAAGTCGAATGTTTTTCTTCAACTCTTATTCTATGCACTCTTTAAACCGATATACGTGTATTAGAATTGCATCGAAACGTATATTTAAAGACCATATATATATCATTAAAGATTATTCAATGACGTCGCATACGAATCAAAAGTAAGCATTAGGTCATCAGAGCGATGACAAACCGTGATGCGTTTGTTTAAGTAAATTTTTCGTTGACCTATTGATTCGTAAAACGTGCGAATGACGCTTGGAATGCAAAAATAGTGTCAATGAACACAGGGTTCTGCATGTTAAGTAGCATGCATACATAAACAGATTACTATCAATTTCTCAGAACGGAAATATGAAAGTAGACTTGTTTATATTTATATATAAATAATGACGAAAAAAAAAAACAGAATGCGATCAGTTGGCTTCATTTTCTCATATCTAATCGTGGCCACTATAACTTCTTTTCCGTCTTATATTTTCTATTCTTCTTAAAAACATTGAATCGACTATAAATGTTTGTATAAAAATATAAATGGCGTCATATGCGCAAAGTAATGTATATGGAAATCTTCAATGCTTCACGATTTTCAATGGGCTTGGCGCAATCGAATCAAATAATTACAATTAATTTTGATGACTTCAGCCCGTAGATTTATTTGTGTGATATATGAAGAACGAAACCGATGAGCAACTCGCGGTCAATTAATTCAAGGATTGAAAAGACTAAGACTAGATTAAATTCAATGGGAACCTTCGTATCACGTCACCTAAGCATGTTTCTCATTTTTGTTGAAAATATTTATGGATTATGTCAAGAGTCCACACATTCCAAGCCATTAATTATGCTGCTTCTATTCTGAACTCCATATCAAAATAGCATATAATCTCTACAGCGTAGTTTTTTAGTTTTATTCATAAAGAAATTTGCTTCCTCGAATAGTATTTTGTACGTGATGAAGTCATCGATGATTTTGCTCATTTTTTGTGTGTGTGGCAACATGCTATCTTGCCCAAGATCTGAATACGAAACTTTTGTTTCCGTCCGAACAAATTTGTTAGCAGGAAAAGAACGAATATTCTGCTGTTAAAAGTGTTTATAAATATAATTAAAATGAAAGCGACAATATATTATATCATATTAAATTGCTATATCAATACTCATCACACCCATTGAGTGTATTGACTAAAGCTTTTTTCGCGGGAACATTGTATTGAGTCATTTGTGATACGTTTGCAAACCGTTGTTGTTTATGTTTACTTCGTACGTTCAATCGAAACATTCTGTCTGAATATATACATATGCGCATTTTATTTATTGCTTACTCTTTCGTTCTCGCCATCCATATCCATTGTAATTGGAAAGCAGCGTAAACACGCAGTAAATACACACACAAATACATGTACGCTCGATGCGTATGTTGTTGTGAAAAATACGCGCTCCAATGTTGTCAACACTTTGAATCACGAAAGAAAAAAATAAAAACACACAGCAGCCAAGCGGTGGCGTAGAGTTATTTTGGTTTTGTCCATCTGGATTTTAGTATAGTTTCAGTCGTGCTCAGTACAAGTATTCATTTTTCGAACGTTGTGCATTTCTAATTTCAATAAATTCCTTAAAGTGTTAGAATCATATTTTCTGTGCAAAGTGTGTATTCGACAATAGTGTTTTCATAAATAACACACGATTTTTCTATAAAAAGAAACAAATCTAGGTGGGTTTTGAAACTAGATTCGCTAGTTTTTTTGTTTGTTTGTCGTTTTTAACAGATTGCAGTTTTTTTTTAATTTTCAATGTTTTTCTCCACTTTTCATACATATTTAACTGACTTTGAATTATTTCTTTTTTCCAATCGAAAAAGTCATCATTTTGTTTACCAACTATGTTTTTAACACCTTGCTCATTTATTATATTGCATAAAAAATAAATAACTGTGCATTTTTGTGTTTGTAATTCAAAATGCAATCGATTTTAGTGTGCTTTAACCGTTTTTATAGTACTGACGATATCAAAATCAGACTCTCTGTGAGAATCAAAAATATTCTACAAAAAAAAAAACAATCTGAAACTGAAGATGAGAATAAATGAGCTCTTGCAGCTCTTTGGATATTTTTAAATAGTTTCCACATTTCGCACAAATTGAAAATTGAGAAATTGGCTTGACTCCCACTCATTCAATCGGAAGTTCCTAAGTTTCACGTAGATATTTGGCTAATAAATTTTGATTTTAAATAAAAAGCAAAAAAAAGTAGTGCGTAGAAATGGAATTCACAGTAGGCAAAAAAAAGAATTCGAATCAAATTATAGAAACGACTATATTAGATGCGATCAAATCAATCAACGGCACACCTTCTGTGAATTTTCATTGTCATTATTCTAATTTTGTCTGAGTTTTATCCATATAATCCAATAGATACAAAACACAATATTCCAAACACAAAAACCCTATTATCTTTGTATTTGAATCTTTTTACGGATGACAACTAGTTGAATGGTCTGCATGTTTGGTTATAAAACTTGTAGCATTTGTGTGTGTGTTTTTCTTCTCTGTTCATTGAATTCTTCAGTTGAACTTTTTTTAAGGCAAAAATGATACGCAATTTTTTGTCTCTTTGAACTATGTTTCTTCGGCCAACGCCTAAAATTTTGTAAACATTCACGAGCGTGTTTTGAATAGTTTCAAGGGAAATGTGTTGGTTTTTTAGTTTACAACCGTCATTTGTCAGTTATTCGAGTCGGACACTTGCATGTAGAACTTTTTGGCGAGAAGCAATGACAAATGGGACACACAGATTTTTGTGTTGTATTGAGAAATATGCCGATGATCACATCATTTGCCTATTTTTAAAAAAGACGTTTTTTAAAGCAGTAGCAGCGAGAATAAAGCGCGTCGTCATTGAATATGCTTATGGATTGATGAGAGTTAAATGTAAATCAATTGTTTACGAATATTTATACAGTTGCGCTTACGACTCAACGCTGTTTTTTTCTTCTTCGTTTCGTTCGAGTTGCACAGTTTTATTTTGTTCTCTCAATGCCAGTCGCGACCTGAATCTCTCCAAAATAGACTGCAATTAAATTGCTGAGAATAATAATAAAGATAAATGAAAACAATCAAAAATCGAGCAGATGCAATGCACGAATAAAACTGAAAACATGAACTAAACCTTCTTCGATGCGATCATAATTTTTGTTTACAATTTTTGATTCAATATTTTGTTAAGGTTGAAATCTTACTGATAAAAACCAGTTTGTAGCAAGATCTCAGTAAATTGATTTCAATATGGCTTGTATATATTTTGAAAAATAAAAGTTGTTATCAAGCTCAGGACAGAAATTTACATTTCCACTTGAATGAGAAGTTGACATTTTTGTATAATACAGAAACATTGTGCAAATCGCGTTTAAATCGAAATTCTCTCTTTGAAAGTGGCCTTGGTTTACTCAAATCTACTTCATGCGCAGTATGAAGCACACTATATTCACCTAGCTTTGTCCTTGCTCTGTGATGTTCCTTCGTTATACATTTAATGACAAAATACTAGAGTAGCTAATATAAAAATTCTTTTCAAAATTCTAGGCATGTGTGCCGACAGACAAAAAAATATGACTTGTCCACAGCGTAGAAATAATTGATGGCATAGAACAGAAGTAAAACAAAACTTTATGGCCACAACTTTCGCCATGAACAGTCTGATTCATTTACTAGTATGCATATATTCGCGTTATGACATCAGTCGCACGCTAAATGTTTTCTGAGAACGCTGCTATATTATCGAGTTGCTTTGCCTCGTACACGCTGTGTGTATGCTAATTCAATGGATTATGATTTTGTTGTTGTTGACGTGTTTTTACGGGAAAAAAATAGTGTCGGGGCGATTACATCATCGATTGTTGTCGCATTCCACTGCTGAACCTCTTCGCGGCTGCTCGATATTATGATGTCGTCAGCATTTTGTTTTTGTACATTTTCGAAGAGTGAGATAATCGCGGTGTCGTCGATTTTGACGAACAGGTTATATACACATACATGCAAACCAAATCTCAAAACGAAACAATTTCAGCTAAACAGTCAATCACATCAACAACAATAACAGAAAAAAAACGGAATATATCGCGGCGGTAGTTCTCCCAAAAAAACGACGCATTTTCTTTTGACAAATTTAAATAATTGCTATGAATCCATTGTTTCTAATTTGGTTTGATTTAGTCGATGAAAACGTTTTGTCACTGGATTTATATATATGTAATCCATTCATAATTATACAATAGATTTAATATTAATGATTTCGAGCCGAATATTTTGGATTTCGAAAACTTCAAATACAATGAACGTGATGATGACGAGAGTGGTTCCTGAATTTTAATGGTGCATTGTTTATTCGCATCTACCTGGGTTTCTCTTGTACATTTGACTTTGAATTTAGTTAGTGAATATTTGATCATGATCAAGTTGTGAGCAACATTCGAAGAAAAAAACAGTCAACATTTGATACAAAAGTCAATACTTGTTTAAAAGGTTCAAAAAAAGTTTATACGACAATTTTTTTTTCACTTTCAAAATAAGAAACGAAATAAAATTCACGCAGCCTTAAATTCGCACGTCACATTCAGATACATTATTGTAGTTTATTATGTAGCAACAAAAATTATGAAAAAAATTTATCAACCACATTTCTGGCATAATAGACCATTGCATATGACTGAATAGCTCATTTGTTTATTCAAATGGATTTTTTGAATTTTAATTTTCAAACACACATTCTCCTTTACATATTATCATAGCTATCATTTCGTCACTAATTCGGTGGATATTTTTACTTTTTATGCATACACAATATTTCCACATGCCATTTTAAAGTGCAGGCTTTAACATTTCCGAAAAAAAAAACATTGTCTGTCACTTTATTATTGATATTCCAATAATCTATGTAAGTCTGTCACTCTTTCACCAATTAGATTTCAATTATGATCAATTAGATTCAGTATGACTGATGAGTGTTGGATTATAAATATTTTTCTTACAGTTGCTGCCATCAAGCCTTCAGAAATAAAAAAAGAAATTTTACATAAAATTTGAAGTGTATATTTAACAAGATGTCACAACAGCAAACTGTACGAATTACAACAACCGAAACGTCCAATTCTTCGGCACTTATTATTAATTCGGGCTATTTGAAAACACCGGCTGGCCTCTTGAAAGTCTTACAATTTGTAAATACCCTTTTGATAAATGATAATCGCATTTTTCAGTTGAGTAATTTTTGAATTAAACAAAATCCATCTGTACAAATTAGATTTTGGGATGCGTTTGCGTGGGTATAATTGCTTATCATTTTAATGATCACGGTTTTTCGGCCCAATCAGAGCTATTCTTCTATTTGATGTGCGTTACATTTTTGATTTGTACAACAATTCTATTGATTTCGTGCTTGATTTCTTGGAGCACTGGTGGCATTATATCCAAGACAATCTATGTAAGTAAATCAAATTAATGAACATTTGCACATAGTATCATGCCCATACACATACGATCTATTTGTTAATAGGAATTAATCTATCATGCGATTGCTGCCACTTTGATTATAATTGCATCTGTTGCCCTGATTGTCGTTATAAACGATCGCAATTCATCACACTACTATCGTCAAATTTACAAACAACTTCTGGCTGCTGGTGTAAGCATTTTCTCACTTTAACGATGAATACTAAACGTTCGTATTAAAATATACAAAATGCGTTTCTGTTATTTTAGATCATCGGCATTTTGAACGGATTGCTCTATGCGATCAGCACATACTATGCAAGTCGTTCATACAAAGGAATATAAGCTAAATGATGCTGATTTAGACAGAAAAAAAAATCGAAGTGAAAAACAAACACAACTTTTAATAAGATGACGAAAAAAAAACACAATTTTTTTTATATAAAAACTATTTGAAGAAATGCTTTTAAGAAATATTCTATCACATATTTTATTCAAACTACATTAACCAACTCAAATTGAGAACAGTATTAGGCGTTAAGCTAGAATATAAAAGTACAATTGCAATACATTCCCAAAAATATTTAAATATTATATAAATGGACATTTTGCAGATATTCACTTTGAATAACATATGCCATGCCTTAAAGCACTCGATTGATTTTAAATTTACAAATAAAGTATATTATATGTGTAAATAAATGTATGTTCTCCATCTTTTTCTTCTATGTATGCTGGAAATGGTTTGAAAATTCTAATCAAAAATTATTAATTTATATTTATAAATTTCGCTTTGATGTCAAAAAAATGTGTGAATTTAATGAAATTTTATTTATAATTTTTAGATTGTGAAATTAAAAGAACAAAAATCACTTGAAAAATGTCACACTCTGTTACAATTACAAGGTATAGTATACATAATAAAGCAAAAACAACAAAACAAATAATCAATCTTTAAAACATTAACAATAGGACTGTCACCACATCCAACAACACCTCGACACTTGTGTTGAATATAGGATACCTAAAGTCATTACCTGGACTACTCAAATTGACACAATTGGTAAATAAAATGATTTGGTATTACACTCTTTTTATTCAGTCACTAATTAACTGAATTATTTTCATGTAGATTATTGGTGCCGCTTGCGTTGGAATCATTTCACATCATTACGCTCGTTACTATGACGGATTACCGGAGCTCCAATTTTTGTTGGTTGCCACAACATTTTTGATTGGCACCTTTTGTCTATTGGTTTCTTGTTTATTCTCACTCAGCACTGGTGGCATCATTTCCAAAACAATTTATGTATGATATACATTTTTTTATATCTTTATCTTTGTCATATCACGTAATAACTTATAAAACATTTTCTTACATACATTAGGAACTCATCTACCATACCGTTGCCTTTGTTCTTTATTTGATTGTGTCGATATGGTTGCTTGTAAAATTGCAAGACTATAAGCGATACGATTTCTACAACAAGTACACTATTGTTGGGGTAATTATTTATACGCATTTTTAAATGTCGATTAAGTTTGCTGAAATCAAAATTTTAATTACTTTTTAGGCACTTGGTATTCTCAACACCCTGTTATATCTTTGGTCAGCAGTGATTGCCCGAAAGACTTACCGTGGAATTTAAATGAAACTCCGTGAATTAAAAAACAAAACATACACAAAAATGCAAACAATAGTAGAATTAAGTTAAGCCAAATATTAATTGACCGATGTAGTTGTGTTCAATTTCTTTCATGTTCGTACTTTTCCAAATTCTCTGTATTTACAGTTTTTCTACAATAAACATGCTTTAATGTGAAGAAAAACCGTGATTAGTTATCATTTTGGTTTTATTTCAATATTGTTTTCTTTTGTGGATGGGTTTTTTTTTCTTTTTACTAACATTATGTGTGATGCACGTACTTTCTTATTAACAAATGCGCAATGTACATATTATTGCTTTGCAATTGCTTTCGATGTAAGTACATGTGTTGTTATCAGCTTCAATAACGTCTGTCATTTTTCAGATTCATCACAAAAAATAGTAATTGTTAGATTTTATTTTTTGAATATTTACAGATTGAACCGGCAAAATGTCTCATGGTGCAAACATAACAGGTATAAGCACAGCAAATGTGTTTGTTGTGTGTGTATGAATTAAATATGTTCTGTTTTTTTAGTAACTCGGACAGTTACAACATCCAATCCAAATGTTATCATCATCAACAAGGGTTATTTGAAAACACTTTCCGGAGCTTTGAAAATCGTTCAACTTGTAAATAAATGATGTTTCATCAATATTTCGATATAGATACATAAAATTATCTTTCAGATTTTGGGTGGCGTTGTCATTGGTCTTCTCTTGAAGAACTTCTACGATTATCCCTACTATAATTTTCACAATAACCATCCGTATATCCCGCATTACGGTTATAATGTGCACGTCACTGAAGTTTTACTGGTTTTGGTGTTGGCTGTGGTCTTTTTCATTCTTTCCGCCTGTTTATTGTTGTCTTGCATCTTTTCTCTGAGCACCGGTGGATTGATATCCAAAACACTTTATGTTTGTTATTCCAAATTCAATCGATAATATTGTAAAATTCATTGTATTTTTATGCAGGAATTTTTATATCATCTTGTTGGATTCATTTTACTGCTCATTGCATCGATTTTACTGTATGTGAAGATAAACAAATATAATCTTGTGTACTATGATTACTATCTCGCAGCAGTGGTAACGTCTTAAACTAATTTATTTTCGATTTTCTATAAACATTTAATGTCCTTCCGTTTTATTATGTTTCACAGATTGTATGCGGCGTGAACTCTATTCTATATCTTGCAAGTACAGTTGTTGCTTTTCGTGAGTATCGTAATTAATTCAAGAAGGAAGATTACAAATTAATCCAGTTCATATATCCTATCATTGTTTGAGTTTGTTTGTGTGTGGTTTTAATTATTGCTTTAAAGATTTAAAAAAATGTTGATGCTAATAAAAAGGTGAAATTCACCATGATGTTTTGATGTGTTAATGTGATGTCTTTTATTTCGAAATTTCATTCGTTTTTGAATGCCATTTGGAAAATGCAAGAGACCAGGGTGAAAAATTGAAAAATATAAAACAATGGCCTACCTTTAGGAGATTATTATTACTCAGACCATCGAACAATAGCACTGTGAACCACATATTACTTGTAATATATCTCCAGTCAATACAAGTATTGCTGAAGAAACTTGAAAATATGCACATTGACCATGCCATTGATAAACGGTTAAAAATAGGATTTGGCGATAAAATGTGTTCATTATCACAAACAAAATATGAAGAACGAATTCTCATAAATTGTTTTTAGCCGAAAAACTCCCATACACGATATTTGGAATGCGACCACGCATCGATCATTATTAAATTGATGAACAATCGGAAATGTTTATTTAATCTCAAAGTATTATTTTCTTTCAAAATCCACCAACGATTTAGGTGAAGCCAAATCATTAGTACAGTATAACCACCCATCAATAATATATGTATGAAACGTAACGAGTTCATTCTCCATGTGGTTCCATCGTATTTGATTTCAGCCCGACCACGCCACACCTTTGGATAAAAGAATCTAATCAATCGATTGATAAGTGTAAAAAAAATTCTAATAATTATAGCTTGAATGTTTTGTTCTCTCCTTTATTTACTCAGTATTTGTTGATCATAATGTTTATCATTGTTTCAAATCTGCGCATGAGTAATCGCGTCAAATTTTGTTTACACAAAATTTAATCATCGACATCGCGCAGTGCATATTCTACGGTGCACAAACTTGTTTTCTTCCTTTTTGTTTTGCTTTCGATTTCGTTCATATATCTTGTTCACCGCGAGTATACGGCATTTGGTGCTGAAAGTGAAACAAAAACATAAACGACGCGTATTGAACGAAGACTGTATTTGTTGAAAACACCGAATAAAATATGTGTCGCGGATTCAACACGGCAATAACGCGTTTTTTTTACTTTAATTTATATCTGAGTACTGATTGAATGGCATGCTGCCACATTAATACACTGAAACAGTATGAACGCGAAGGCACTAGAGGTTGCTATGTTAGTTTATATTTATATTGTATTCGGTTACGAGTACACAGACACGCACCGAATATATATGGCTACCATTGACTTGTCGTTAGCCTCGTGCACACATTCGGTATCGCAAGTCAAATTTACTTTCTGTATAGAAGCGGCTAAATAATAGTCGGTTTGGTTCAGTGTATAACAACCCGTAGACCAATATACGAACGCAGGCTTGTGTTCACTAATAATGTGCTATTCTTGGTAATTTGACGGCCGAATCGCATGCAAAGAAGGAATTTGACAAACATTTCGAGAACATACATATTCGTTTTTTTAAAAAAACGAACGCGATTTTATTCAATGAACGATATTTAATTAGTTATGTATTAGGTGTTTTTTTTTGTTTTATATTTCTGATTTTGTTTTTACTGTGTGCCTTTTCACATTTACTTCCGACCCATTCAATTGATTTCGTGCGATTTGAGTGAACAGAAGCACTGTGAGTATTTTTCATGGAATGGTGTAATTTTTGATTTCAAATTCCAACATCGAATTGGTGAAAAAAAAAGAAAACACAAAACAAAACAAATGAATATAAAATTCTGCAGTGCACATATATTAATTGGATCGTTTGCTTATGTCTTTTTTTATCGTTGTGATTTTCGATCTTTATTCCACTTTATTGCCATAAATGGTTCTTACTTCAATATAATTTAATTTTGTGAATCTGTGTAAAGTCTACGATTCACGGTGACGTCGATTATTAATGTATGAGCTGCAAACAAATTGAATATATTGCACGTTGTTTTATCTATATGATTTCATTCTTAATTCATATAAGGTTTTTGTTTTGGCTACGAGTTTTCGTTGCCAGCCAATTCTTCACATAAATAACACTTAAATGTCTTTTTTTAGGAATTTTTAATGGGCTTAAACCTTATATCTTCCTGAAATTGAATGCATAGTGATTCAATTTGTGCAATGTTCATATTCAATATCGAAGCATCGAAGCTGTGACAGAATTAGTTGATACGTCGAATACGAGGTGTCTTCAAAATTAAAAATAGAATTGATTTAAAGTGAAGCGCATTAAAAAATCAACCAAAAATTGATCCGATAAAGCTTGAAACAATGTTGACGAACGAGTGTGAGCGGGATATACAATTGGAATTGAATAGAAATTATTTGAAATCGTTTCCAGCACGATTGAAATTTTGTCATATCGTAAGTTATATCGAATGTGCATTTGATCAATTTCCATTAAATGGTTTATTTTTTTTATTTTCATTTTGATATAGTTCCTATGCACGCTGGCCTCAGGGTTATTATTCTACTACACATCTGACAACTATTTATTGACATTTATTCCAATTTGCATTGAATCGATACTTGCACTATGTTCACTCATTTTCCTGGTGTCATCAACAATTAATTGGAATACAACGGGGAAAATTCGGATGGCACGAATCAACTTTGTAAGTTCAACATAACATAGCCCCCATTCATAATGATTGAGTAATGCGAAAACAGGTGTTTTTGTGGTGTGTTACTATCCAAACAAAAATAGCCACAAATAAGTAAACACACTAATAACATAGAAAAATGTGAACTTCAAGGTTTTGCCCGTGTCTGTCTTAATATCGATTTAAAGTTCCGACACATGTTGGCGACATTCATTCGTCCAATACGGCACGACAACTAGAGACAATGGACATTTTTGTTTATCGTTTACTTGATATTTATAAAAAAAAAATTGGGAAGCCCCACATTACCTTTGTGACTCCATTAACACACATTTATTTGATGGAAATATCTCACGATTTACAAAATTAAAGGCTAAAAATCATATCAATATAATGCTTTGTTATCAATCTAAAATAACGTAAAAATTTCTTCTTTTTTCAGATTTTTCATACAATTGCAATTATACTTCTTATAATTAGTACGTTTATATTGCTTATTGGCGTTACAGTGCAAATACTTAGTTACAAAAATATTTTAAAATACCAATTGCCATTTATTGTTTCGTTGTTTGTTGCATCGGTGAGTAAAATCGAAAACAATTTCAGATTAAAATACCCATTCAAATGTTTATTGAATTTACCTTTGTTTTGTTACAGATTCTAAACGTTTTAAGTGCATTATTGTATTACACATCGATCAAGTTGGTGCGAACTACTTGTGAAAATTACTAAGTTCCCGATGTAAATATTTATTCACATAGTGAGAAAGTCGGCGAGGTCACCGTATTTTGATTTTTGAGTCCATGTGCACTGAAAATAAGTAATACGTTTCTTATCGCAATCGAACCATCGGTGATATTTTTTTTTTGTACTGACACATGATAAACACAATTCAATCAAATGAACTTTAAGCGATCGCAAATTACCAAAATAACGTGTGGAAAATATTTTAAATCTGTTTCGTGTTGTTTTTAACAGATCTGGATATAATCAGGACGGGAATCGGAAGATTTTACAAAATAAACATAATTTGTTCAGATTTGAATGGCTAAATTCATCGAAATACAAGAGTAATCGTTCTTCTCTACTGTAGTGAAACAATTTGAATTGATTTGTAAATCCAGAAAGAAGAGAATCCAAATACAGAGTTAGAGTGCAAAGCATTTCAGATATAAATTTTTTTAAATGAAAATATTGAATAGTGGTTAGACGAATTTATCTACTTTTAGGCGATAATTTTTTGATTGAAAATTATAAAAAGTATATTAATATTGTTTGATCCATTAATTTTAATGTATTTTTTCATGTCGATAGTATTATTATCTATCTTGTATTGAAAATAATTCCAGTTGAGAATAAATGAATTTAATTAAAATATACATTTGTTAACCATGCCAATTAAAAATAATATTAATTGCCTTTTGACTTTTTTAATACAAGACAATTAATTGTCTAGAAAGCATCATTGTTTTAATATATTATGAATAAATTTGAAATGACGCAATGAAACAGACTAGTGCAATGAAGATTTTGAACTGAAATACTTTTACAATTATTATCTTATCAATGCATTTCTTTTTATTCTAATTGGACCAGGTGACTCAGAAAATTAACATGGCAAATGCCAAATATGTACGGACGTACAACAGTGCCATTCCAACGGTATCCAAAACACAATCTAATATATATAAATACGCAAACATCAAAAGTTTTGTACCTCTCCTGCCAACAATTTTTATCGGATCGAAATTTCAAACATACCGTTGGAAAGGTATTGACTTCAATTGAATGCAGCAGCAATATATTTTATATCTATAAGAAAGAGTCGTCGTTGAAAACGTTAATACAATATATTTGCACTAGTGTACGCCTTTGGTTCGTTTTGACCGGTGATGGTTTTTTCCTATCTGAATAGCGCTAGCTATTCGCAGCGTTTGTAAAGCATTGCTGCCCAGATTCTGATTCGAAGCGGTTCGTAGTGAAAGGGTGAAAGGGAAGAATGCATCATTTGAAGTGAAAAGAATGTTCATGTTGATGAAATTACCAAAACAATGCAATTGATAAGGGTGTAAAAGAGCTGTTCGAATTCAAATACGGGATCTGCATATGCCGGATGTTTCCGTTGGTAAGTTTGGTGAACTCGGCCAGGCCATTTCATCGGAGCGTTTAGAACTTCATCGTCGACCGGTTTACAGTTGGGGCAAACTAGAAAACTAAAGAAAAAACAATAGAAAATATAAATTGCATGTATGTATTGATTGGATAGGTAGGTAGCTATATATAAAAATACTTACCGGTCTTTCGATTGACGTTCTGGCACACTCTTTCGTTTCTTGAGCTTACGTCCACATTTGCTGCACTTTTGCGATGTATTGTGTTCATTGATTGGCAAAACGAATACATAGTCACTGGCGGTTCGTTGTAATGCTTGATTTAGACAACGTATATAGCCTTTGATCGGTGAATTTGATGCAAATTTTGCACGATTCGTTAAACACACACAGCTGGTAATCCAGATAGGTACGGTACTCGGCACTCTTCTTCGATGGCGATTCGGGATATGTTTCACGATCTTCACGCAACTCACGACATTTTTTCTCAAATGCACCGCCACAAATTCTCTGAAGCCAGGATCACAACCTATAATTATTGGTTTATAATTGTTTTAATTTGACCCGAATCGTATGCGCGTTGTATGATTGGCGACACTGGATCTGGTTGCGCTGGATTTGCAACAGCATTATTGGCACCATCATTGTTGGCGTTGGTATTGGCGTTACGAGCGTGCCGAATCATTTTCAAATGGGCCGAAGTCCCATCGGTTGTGAACGAAAAGTCGAATATTTGACCCGGTTTCTTGATTTTCGCCAAATTTACATATTGACTCCAGAATGTATTATATTCGCCATGCGTCCAACTACCTCTAACATTTGGAATTTTTTCACCACTCCCTCTTTGATACAATAGATTTGTTAGCAGTACGAATCCGTCTGTATTGAATCGTGCATGATGTAAGCCATTGCTTGATTATGGCACCGCCACAAAAGATGACCAATTTCGATGCGGATTGGTTGCATTGTGCGCATGAATAACTCGTTGCAAATTCAACATCTCGTACACGTACCTATTGTATTGATTGAAATTTAGTTTAGTTGTGAATGAATGAATGAAGGAATATTTGGTGTACAAAAAATTAGTAAATTTACCAGTTATCGTCATCGTGTGTTTGGTACAGCCAACCACGTGACACCGGCAATGGTTGTCTTCGTTGTAGCCCTCTTCGTCGTCGTCTTTGTTGTTGCCGTGGTTGTACCAGTGGTGGCACTAACGGTTTCAATTCATCCCGATATCGTTGCAATTAAACAGTATTTGGTTGGCTGGTTGAGTTCGGGTCACACAGATAATTCATTAATTTGTTTATTTGTCTCTTTGTTGCGCCCAAATTTTTAAAGTAATTGCGCATGTGACGTCGCCAGTGCTTTTTAACGTTTGTTTTCATGTTTCTATCATACTGCTCGATGAGAAAGTGCAATACTTGCTCGGCATTTTTCAGTTCGATTTCAATTTCGACGTCGTTTTCAAACAAATAATTACGGAATTCATCGTCCATGATGTAGCCATTTCTTCTTGGGCATTTTTTCACAGATCTGAAATATTTGTTTGCATTGAACTTTGCCAAAAATTCAGCGCGTATATTGGCATCGACGTCATTGTCCACCAGTTGATTCAGTTTGAAAAGAACGTAATCAGTCCATTTTGTCGGCCAAAAAACTTCTTGAAGACTGAATTTCGATGTAACCAAGAAACGATATGTTAATCGAATGTGGCAATGCCACAGTGGCATGTTGGGCGTTTTACATTTTTTTATCCATTATATGTTTGCAACATTGTGTGAGATACTGATGAACCGATTTTGCTTCTGTGATTATTCGTCCGCCGGTATAACAGTTCAAACATACGCGCACACTCAAACGTTTCGTCGAGCCGTAACCGCATGAACGTAATTCCTCAATGTTAACAACATCACACACAAGCGCATACACACCCATACGCTGGAATTGGTGATTTGAAAACCGTTACATACGCGCACACTCAAACGGTTCGTCGACCCTTTTGTAACCATTCAGCGAAAAACGCTTGAATGTTTATCGATGTATAAATCGATATATGAATCGTAGCGGCGAAAGAGTAGCTCTTATTTTTCTCCAAATAATACTGCAACATAAAGTTTTTTATGAATAGTTTATTT